CTGAAAATTTCACCCAAATTGAAATCTGATCATGAAGACCCTAGATCAGAATTGTCAGGGCTATTGAATGGTGTATGATTCGACTACTTTTGAATCTGCTCCGTTTTTGCCTTAGCGGCACCTTACAGTTTTTCATTTTTAATCACTTCGTTGAAATGGCTAGTTGTGTATATAGCCATACCATGATATAACTCTGTTCTCAATGGTTCATAAAACATGCAGTCTAACAACAAATGCCGTCGTGTTTCCAGTTGAATGTTGCAATGCTTACAAAATGGGCTGTCTGTCTTTCTTTTCAAAAATGAAGTTCGACAAGAATACGGTTCGACAAGTTATTGAGAAGGAATCGAAACACAAGGGTCTGTCTTTTTCTATTGCCAATTATTTCCCTAAGCCGTATGTTTTCAATATCTGGATTTGTTTGGTAATACAATCTTGCAGTCGATTCATCTTTCCACACCTCTTTCCATTGGTTTTTGATACATTTATATATTTCACTACTAATCTCCATGTTCGTATACTTTGGCTTATTGGTATTAATCAGATGATCAATGTTAATAGATTTCTGAGTGAGAACTATTTGTTTAGCAATGAAGTCCGCTCTGTTGTTGCCAACTGACGATAAGTGTCCCGATATCCATCTAAATATCATACTGTTGTCTTTTTCTTTTAATATCTCGTATGTTTTTCGCATATCTTGAATCAATGGACTTGTCTGCCTACTAGATGCTATGGCTTTTAATGTTGACTGATTATCAGTGAAAAGGGTAATTTGTTTTGATGCAAGTGATATATCTACTAGAATTTTTAGAGCTAGTGTTGTATCGCTAACAGCTCGCCATGATACACGGAGTATTTTTGTCCTAAATACATGCCATAATCCTCCCATCTAAACTCATCACCAGCTTTTGTCATTATCGTCACGGCTGCTGCTACTTCATCATGTTGTTTAGAGGCATCGGTATAGATCAAAAGCATAGTTGTGTTATCAATTTTTTCTAACAATTCTTGTTCCTCATTCAATGCTAGCTCATCATTTGAAATTATCACATCAACTGCTGTAGCACATGGTTCAAATAGCACATGCATTTCTGAATGTTGTATCAGTTCATCATGGGATTATTATCGCTACTGACTGTTGATATGATTTCCTTTAATTTTACGAATATTGTTCCCTTTTCTGGTTTTTCAAATAAGGCTGACAAGGGACGATACTGAAGTCGTGAATGTAGAGTTATTGCTTTAATCATCTGTCTCCTCATCAGCCTAAAATATACAGGTAACAAATTACAGAATACTTCTAGAGATGAGAGTGCTACAGTCTACCTGGAGGTTCCAAGTGCTGTTGTCAACGTGCAAGGATAACAGGATGGCGAACAGTCTGGTCAACTAAGGTCACATCAGCGTCTGTCCAGCTGACTGGCTCAATAGAACTCCCCTCAGGACCGACAATATCGGCACCTGAATACAGAAAAATGGCTTCAGTGCCTTTTAAAAGTCGCCAATAATCAGAGCTAACTATACTGATGCCAGCACTGGTGTCTAAAGTGAAAATGTCGACTGTTCCAAATAATTTCCCTTGAGCTATGGCACAACCTCGTTTAATAGTGTAAAAACTAGCTGAAGCATTGGAAGAAATGGCATTTTCTTTGATTTTACTCTCTAATTTAAGGATGGTGGTAGCAAAATCTGAAGATTTAGACGATAAAAGAAGTTGAGTTGTTTCTTTAGCTTTCTCTTCCTCTTCTAACTTTCTCCGTTTCTTTTTAGCTTTTTTTGCTTTCTTAAATTCGAGTTTTTGCGCTAGATTCTTTTGTTCATCTAATAGAGTAGCTAGTACAGTTGTTGGTGGACTAACACTATCATCAGATGATATTGAAGAGTTAGAAGATGAAGAAATAGGCTGAGAAAAACTTAAAAAGATGAGAAAGATAAAGGCGCAGAATCGGATTCCGGTTGAGAAAAGGCCTCTCCATTACGGTCGGATTTTGCCAACCTTGCAAGCGATTTTAGAGGCTCCATCTTGCCTTTTTCTTTAGATTGGACGATTGAGGATTCATTAACGAGATGGGAGATAAGCTCATCCTCACTTAGCTGCTCCCCTTGCAGTTTAAACGGTTATGTCTTTGCTGAGTTTAAGAACCACCATCGGAAAAACGGAGTCCAGCAGATAAACTGCGTTGATTATTGTCTTGTCTTTGAAAACAGATATTTGCATTATGTCCCGTTTTCTTACAAATAGCGCAGGGAACACGACAACCTCGTTTCCAGTGTCCATTTTTACAGCATATTGGACAAGGACCTGGAGGTTCTTTATTTCCATTCTGAGATGGTGAATTTTTGACGATTAAAATTTGACTGATTTCGAGAAAATGACAAAAGAGACTGATTATTGTTGCTATTTTGGTTCCTACTATTATTATTATATCGTCCGTAAAAAGTTGCTGTCGGTTTTTGCCGAAAGTCAGTATTATTTCTTTCATTTTTAGGTGAATAATCCGAAGAAGTATGTTTTTCATCGGTTGCTTCTGAGAAAGTAGTTGATGGTGGAGAGGACTGTTCAAGATTAGCAACAATAACAGTCTTTCCTGGCGTTTTCAGACGTGCTAGCTGACGAGTTACTGAACTAGTTAATTCTCGTGAACTTTATCGTCTTGATCGCAATCAGCACTAGAAGAAAAACAGCCTGATATTGTTCTTTGAATTTCTCCCTTGCGACGGTAGAGTAGCTGAATTTCAGCTTTTTTAAGTACCTCTTCCAAAGACATACTATCTGGATCACCTTTCATCCAAAGAAGAAGTTCAGGTCTCAATCTTCTGAGGAAATGTTTCTTCAGCAGTTTTTCTCGCATTCTAGGACTGATTTCAAGATTTAATCCTAGATATTTTTGCTAAAAGTCTGCAGCCGTTTCATTTTGTCTCTGAACACATCGACATCGTTCAAGTTTCAAAGCTTCGATACGTTCAGGACTACGAAAACGAGACAAGAACAACTTTTTGAACTCAGGCCAAGTGTCCGGTAAAGTTGCTGCTTGCTCAGTCACAGGTAATCGAGACGAAGAACTAGAAAATTTCGATTTTCTTTTCTTTCTAGATTCCGATGTTATCTCTTTGCCACTAAAATTAGGATTATTATCACTATCATCATCAGAAGAAATTTGTTTTCTAGTAGGTGCCTTCTTTTTTCGATCTTTCTCTTTCTCTTCTGGCTTTGAAGCTGCACTTTTATCTGAACTTTCTGTATCATCAACACTAAAGGAACTATCAGAAGATGGTGATGATGATGGTGAAGCTTTTTGTTTGCGACTTTTCACAAATTTTGGCTTAAACTTTGATTTTGATTTAACACCTTCTCTGGCACTATCAAAAGAAGAAGTAGATCGAACTCTTCGTTTTCGAGATGGCATTGAAATTTTTCTTCTTAGTTTTGGTCGGAAAGATGATCTAAATCTTTACCCGAAATTTTAGCCGAAGTATTCAATGACAAATCTTCAGTTTGTGTACTAGAATCACTTTTAGCAATTGAAAGTGGATAAATTTAGATCGATGACATGAAATACATTCGTCTAACAGCTTCGATTTTTCTCCATTATCCTCACCATCTAGTGGTAGTGACTTTGCATGCTGAGAAATATCAGAATTTGAAGAGTTAAAAAGATTTGGAGGCAAAGAGACAACTGACGTACGTAAATTAGCAGCAGCAACAACAGTAACAGGTATATCGCTTGAAACTGGCGTCATTTTTTGAACCGGTGTTACCTGTGTTTGAGATGCATTTTGTTGCTGATTAAAAGAGCGAAGCAGTGCATCAGCCTGTATTTTCTGTGCATCTTTCATCATAGACATGGCTGCAATCATTAGTTTATTCATAGACTCCAGCGTGTCATTTGAAACAAGAGAAGCGTGAGAAGAAGCTTTCGAAGTAGTGGACCTAATTGATCGGCATCGAGATGGGATAGAGGCTACTGAAGGCGCTGGTGGAAGTTTCGGCTGAAAACAGAAACCACAGATTTATCGCATTCTAAAGAGGATGCATCGTATTCAGAAGGTTATGATGTTACCAAAACACTATGAGAAGTTGGATCGTGGTGATGTAATTAATAGATAATGAGATGACGCTAATAATTAGTAATTAATAGTAATAATAATAAGGGCGATGTTGTTGGTGGTGCTGATTATACAAATCAATGTTGTATCAGCATCTGGGTAGAACCTCCAATTTGTAGTAGCATGTTAGCCCTCTATAACTTGCTATAACAAAAATAATCCTCAGTTTGGTTTTACACACCAACAACAATTATTATTACGATAAAATATTTTACAGAAAAACTAACGTACAATAATGATGAAATATTAAGTCTTTTAATGTTTCTTTTATGATAATAATAGTAATGTGGTGAACTGCTTCTCTTCAATTGACGAAAGTTGATGAGGAGAAGGGGTGCAGAACGAAATTAAAGTAATACAAATGCAAACACTAAATTATATTTTGTAATTTTAAAAGAATACTAAATATAAACTAAATGTGAGATTTAGTTATAAAATTATAACAGTAGAGTTTCTTCTTCCTTTGTGTGATAAACGAAGAAGACGACTGACGATGATGATTCCTCTTCTCTTAATGTGAGAGAAGAAGAAGAAGAAGTTTAGAATTTAAGTTTAGAATTTTTGAAGAAGAAGAAAAACTGATATTTTTAATGAAATCTCGACACGAAGATAATGTGTCACTATGAAACAAAATAATAATAAAAATCAATTATTAACTGATTTCATTCTCTCTATATATAGAGCGCATAGAAGAAGTTTCTGAAACTTTTCAAGCGACAGAAAATAAAATATGTAACGGCAAGCGGCCGTTACACACCTCACCTCTTAAAATTTTAAAAAGAGTGTGGTTTGCAGCTGTGTTCACAGACTTCCAGCGATCAAAAGCCGTATTTCTTTTACGCATTTTTAGCCGAGTATCTTTGGAAAGTGTTATGTTAGCTTTTCGGAGTACATTTACTCGCTTAAGTGGGACGTATTTCTCAATACAGACATCGACATATGTCTGCCAAATTTACACTATCAGAAGGATCAGTAACGTTGTAAAAAGATGGAGAAATAGCTTCTAACATCGAGTAGAGTAGTGCTAAATCACCTGAAGCAAAATCGCGAGTATATTTGTATTTGGTTTGTGGGCATGTGATAGAAATGTCAAATGAAAAAATAACGTAAAATGCACTGATTTCCCGACAGGAACCTGATCGAAAACGTTTGGAGCTTTCAAAACAGAAGGATAGAGTAAATAATCTAAGCACGAATCCTTTGTTGCAGTAATGACCGAACCCGCAATATTTTTTTTCTAGTGAAGTAGTGTTCTCTTTCATTTTAACATTAGTAAATTTCTACTCGTAGAGGTACATTTAGAATTGTCTCTTATCTCCCCCTATATCCAACTAAAAGAATCGGGATCGGAAACAAACCCGATCCCGCCCAGATGAACTGAAACCCGTCCCAAACCCGAAAAAAAAGCTTTCTGGAACCCGATTCCAAACTCGAACCCGCGGGTTCTGGATCGGGTTAAACCCGCATTACTCTACTCAGCAAACGCTGCAACTAATTTTGTATGTAATCCCGCATGACTTTTCTGTTTCAGAGCATTCTGTCTTCTTTATTTGCAAAGAAAGGTTAGATTGTGTTCGATGTTTTATGAATTATTCATAGAAACCTTTGAATTGTCGTTGCTAATAACGCCTTTTATTTGGTGAGTTTGGATTTTATTTCATCAATATTGAAGTATGTTTGTTAAGGGATCCTCCCGATTCGTCCCATATTCGTCCCTTACTCGATTCGTCCCTGAAAATTTTTTCTCAATTCGTCCCTTGCATAGATGATTCGTTCTTAATTGATTCTCAACTCGTCCCTCCCCGATTCGTCCCTAATTATCAATTAACTTTATGTTTAATCCAAAAGCTTCAGTCACGATTAATTGTAACTTGTTGGTAGTGGTGGACAACGGGTGCCTGGACTTTTACCAAAGTCATGAAGACTATATTGTCTTTTGGTGTGTGTTCTCGCGTTATCCACTAAAATGTTTGGGAGAATATATAAGAATTCTCTGATTATTTAACGGGTGTCCCCGAAATAATGGCGTCGTTTTAATTTGCAGTTATCTCTTTCAGTTTTTAAGCTAGCGACCTAATTGTTATTTTTCAGAAGATGCACCTTGAAATTCTGTGCAATCGTACCTAAACGATAATTTCAGAACTTCGATCAAGACAACTAAGCCAATTCAATCAAGACAACTAAAACCTGAATCAAACCATAGTTTGATTCAGGTTTTCCGTGAGCTTATGCAGCAGATAAGCAAGAGCATCTAACGTGGAAGATGCGGGCCGAAAACCGAATTGATTATTAGAAAAAAGTAGTTTTCGTTTAAGTATTTTCTTTATGTCGTCTCTTTCTCTTTAAGCCAGCCCCAACTATCATATAGCGTTCGACAGAGAATTTCACGGGCTACAAAATGTTACATAAACTATTGAGAACAAAATGTAATCGGGTAGTCTAATATAGTATAGTCATGATCAGAATAAAAAGCTGCTTTGAAAGATTACAGTAGTAACATCAAACTTTCCTCTATTCCCCCTCAGCCTCTTTGTGACCTGAGAAGAGCCAAGGGTGAGAAACTTATTCGTGGTAGCGTTTTAAAACCAGTTTTTCAACTCAGCTTTTTATTCTGATCATGACTATGGTGTTTATTTGGACTGAAAATAGCGTTTTCGTGGCGAAAAGTTCATTACTAGATGAAAAGCCATTTGTTTTCTACTTGTTATGAATTTAAACCTAGCAACTGTATAAATTTCAGCAAATCTCTTTGTTTGCAATGTTTCTTCTCAAGACGTAAACTTTTCTATCGCTATAATACCGTGCCAGATATAGGTTTATTGGTGGCTAAAATTCGCTAAACAACTGAGTGGAAAAAATATGTCTCGAGTGAAGATCGAACTGAGGCTTTGGTTATCAAGATAAATGCTCTAAAGAGAGGACGGATATAAC